CTAAAACATATAAAACAATTCCAAAACTCCATACATCAACCTCTGGTCCGGTATACTGCCTGGCCTGCAGCAGCTCCGGAGCGGCAAAGTAAAGACTGCCACAGAATGTTTTGAGAAGGCTTCTTGGGGAAAACAGATTGCTCAGACCAAAGTCGATGATCTTGATATCACCCGTTTTGCTGATCAGAATGTTCTCAATCTTGAGATCACGATGAACAATGCTGTTGCGATGACAGTAGTCCAACGCGCTGGCGATTTGACGAGCAAACTTGCGGGCCTGCTTTTCTTTGAGTTTGCCATGCGAAATGATATAGTCGAGCATCTGGCCCCCGTTGACGTATTCGAAGAGCATATACCAATGGTAGGTGGTGCGCACGACGTCGCGCATGCCACAGATGTACGGGTGGTTCACGAGGCTAACAATGGCGGATTCACGAGCGGTTCGGGTTTCTTTGGAGCGATCGGCCCTTTCCGCCTCACGCGCACTGCGATGCTCTTCAAAGGACTGTCTGGGTACAATCTTGACGGCCGCCTACATTCATGTTAACCTTGCCCCCCGAGCGAGGGAGAATGAGCTCACCTGTTCACCGGTTTCCATGTTCTTTGCCAATTTTACTTTTCCCATACTACCAGCACCAATCGTTTTCCCGAGCGCCCACTGGCCGGATGGCGTCGTAATCATCGTGCGACGTTTTGGTGCCGCAGACGCAGCTGAGTGCACTTGTGCACCAGAGCCCGTCTGCGGAGGGCCACTCGACCCTTCGGCCGTGGCAGGTCCAGCCATAGCCATGTCGATGCTGTCGCGTTGGTTACCCTGAACGGAAAGGTTGCGCTGGTGTCTCTTCGGGGCGGTATCAGTGTGGTATGCGGCGGCACGTTCTTGGGAACGTTCTCGGGAATAACTGCGACGGGTGGGAGGCGGAAGATTGCCTCTGGTGGCTTCGGGATCGCGACGAGCTAAATTGTCAAAAACGGCCTTATTGGACGGGGGAGGATGGCGCTCATAGGCCTGCGTTTTAAATTGGGCAGGGGACTGGAGATGTTGGGGTTGATGGGGCGGCTGGGAAGGCTGGGATGCGGTTGAGGGCCGAACCGCGACACTTCTAGTTCGATGGGGAAGATCGGACGAGGGCGGACGTTGGGTTTGGGGACGAGACGAGGTAGAATGGCTGCGAACAACCGTTGGCGACGCAGACGATGAGGCAGCAGTGGACATCACGAACAGTAGGACAGATCAAAGAAAAAACAGCTGTACCCTCTTTCACTCTCTACCCCCCGGGGCGAGACGAATCCCCAGCGCACGAGCAGTCAACCAGTTTATTATGGTATGTTTCGATCGATCGGTTGGGTTGGTTAAGGAAATGGCAGAAGATAGAATAGAATAGTAAGACCAGCCAAGAAGAGTCAAGAGGAATAAGAGAACGACTCGGGCAACGGTTGCAGACGGTCGGGGAGCGGGGAGCTGACTAGGTCACGTCAGGCTCGGAGAGGTCAATAAAGAGTTATAGAAGAGAAAAAAAAGAAGAGAGAGAAGAATATTGGGCAATTGAGAAGAGTAGATACAATAGATAAAAAAGAGGGAGAGATGAGATGGAGAAGAGAGGAGAGTGAAAGGTGGTGAGTGAGAGAATAATGAGAAACGAAGCAAAGATGCGGCTGCGGAGAAACAAAACGGGGCCAGGGGCATGCGTTCTATTTACAGCACTGTACAGTAGTATGTATACAAAAGAGAACTCACGCCTTAATTAGAGAGTAGAGAATAAATAGAATTGATGTGCTGCGGCAGACATTACGATGGACATGTACAGTTGCATCGGTACACTACGGAGGACTGTAGATACAGAGTACAGCTGACTTGGGCACAAATCGAGTCACGAGAAACTGACAGCATAATTCTCATGACTCTTGAAAGTTCTTTTTTTATTTTTGCATTAATGTTTTCTTATGGGCTCTACGTTACTCTGTACTCCGGAGTAGTAAGCCCACTAGCCACATTCATCGTGGCGGTACATGTCCCACCACGCGGCTTCGTCATTTCATTCTTCTGCAAACAGTTGCGCCAGTGTTTCACTCTCTCAATCACCTCGATTCCAGCGTGTTTCAGATCGCATCCCTTCATTTCTGATATCGCACAGGGTGGGTTGTGCCTGTTACACCATTGTGGTACTCGTGAGAAGTTTGAAAACTGACGACATGGAATCTCCATCCAGAATGAGTCCCCCCATTAAGCTATAAACCATGGCCAGCAAAAGAACCCGCGCAGCCTTCGAGGCCGATATTCAAGCCCACCAATCTCCCTACGCCCTCTACGGAACGCCCCTCCCCCCACTCGATCCCAGCGTGCGCGACGATGGATCCTACATGCCAATCTGGAAACAGGAAGTAACCGATGACCGGGGAAGGAAACGCTTGCATGGCGCCTTCACCGGTGGTTTCAGCGCCGGGTGAGCTCACGATCCATCCTTCGCATGGAACAGCGACACTAAAAAGTGTTTCTTGCTCAGGTACTTCAACACCGCCGGGTCCAAGGAAGGATGGACCCCTGCGACTTTTGTGTCTTCGCGACAGAATCGGGCTAAAGATGCGAAACCGCAGCAACGGGCGGAGGATTTTATGGATGAGGAGGATTTGCGCGAGGCTGAGGAGGCAAGGGAGCTTCAGACGAGCAGTGATTTTGCTGGGTTTGGGTCTACGGATACCGATACTATGCGCCGTGCGGGATTGATGGATTTGCTCAAGACGGGTGGTGAGACTATAGGTGTCAAACTGTTGAAGAAGATGGGGTGGCGAGAGGGTCAAGGCATCGGTCCCAAAGTGCGACGGAGAGCCGATCTCGATGACCGTGCTGCCCAGAGCAACGAGACGTACCTGTTCGCACCGGATAACCCGCCTATGATTGCCTTTGTCCAGAAAAACGATCACAAGGGATTGGGATACGAAGGGGAAGCCCGTTTGGACGAGTCGCATGGCCCTGGAGGAAAGGATTCTGATGAAGAAGATTCGGATCCGTTCTTTGGTCGACGATTGGAAGCTCCTGGGAAGCAAAAACCATCCAAGCCAGAGGGGCCACGTCGCGGCGCATTTGGTGTCGGTGTCTTGAACGATACTGGATCGGACGACGAGGACCCCTACTCTATCGGTCCACAGATTTCCTACAACCGCGTCATCGGGGGAGACAAGAAGAAAAAGAAGCAAAAGGAGAAAGCTGGGGTAGGACAAGCTGCCGGTTCAGCATCCAACCCTCTCGTGAGCACCAAACCAGTCTTCATTTCCAAGAAAGCCATGGCAGCCAGGAATCCTGGCCGCTTTAGGAAATGTCACGATGGTCGTTTACCCTTGGATGGATTTGTACTTGCAGACCTGGCTAGTCTCTCCATCTCATCCCAGGAGAAACGATATGCACCGGAAGTCCCTTCGGATTGGAAATCCAGCAAAACCTTGTCGCAAGAGAGGAATACTTCCAACTACGTTTCTGCGGCAGACGCTGCCAAAGCCTCGTCGCTCGATCCTACATCTCGGGCTGCGCTTCTAGGGGAGGCGCAATTACCTTCAAAATCCATCTTCGACTGGATGACCCCTGAAGCCCGAGAAAGGATAGCGAAGTTAACCGGGAAAACGAACCTACCGCCAGCTCTAGGCGAAAAGGCACCCAAAGGCTACGAAATGTCAGAATCCCAGAAACGACAAGATCTCTGGGATCTGGTTCCAAAACTAGATAAGCAGCTGGCCGTCCAAGCATTGACCCGAGCAGTCAGCGGATGGATGCCCTACTCAGAGGACCCCGACAAACGCGTCCGCTACCGGTCATTCATCGAGGTACGTGCTGGGCTTCGTGACACACTTCCCGAACGAGTTCCCGGCTCAACGACCGACGAGTGGGCTTCCGAATTACACGAGTTTGCTCGAGCCGCAGAAGTCTTTAAACCAGTGAGCGGTATCATGGCATCGCGGTTCACATCCGCGTCGTCCGGTCCTAAGGGCTCGTCAGACGAAGCGGAATCGTCTTCAGATAACCCGCTACTCAGCACACCTGCTGAAAAGCCTGAAGATCCTGCTGTGGCGGCTGCCAAAATTGGCATGTTTGGTCCGATGACCCGGAGCACGATATCGTTCTATCCAGGCCGTTTATTGTGCAAACGGTTCAATGTGAAACCGCCTTCCAATGTACAGCAAGACCCTGAGGAACAACAGCAGCCGGGAGGTCCACCTTTCGCTGCTGGTGACCGTTTCCAGTCCGCGGGTTACCAAGCCCCTGCTCACACCGGACCGAAGGAATTGGTCTCGCGAGATGTCCTGAACCAGTTAATGGTGGATAGTGGTCGAGCAGAAATGGGTACTGAGACTGCAAGAGAGCAGGTAGTCGTGGAGCCAGAACGCAATGAAGCTCTGGAAGCTGAACGACCGGGAGAGGCGGTGTTCAAAGCAATATTCGGGAGTGACGATGAAGATGAAGATGAAGAGATGGAGTAGCTTCCATCTTGTAATGTTACACTGTATAGCTCCGGAACAATTATATGTGGATGTGATACTCGGCACTAAACGAGCTTGTTTAATGGAGCAAAGCTTATCATTTGACATGTCACGCGTAACCGTTGCGTATCGGTAATGACCTGTGTGGTATGGTATGGTATGGTATGGTATGGTACGATACTGGAGAGATTTGGTACATCTCAATAGTAAACTCAGAAGGCTTTCCTTCGAGTCAATGCGTTTCATAATCTTTTTTTCTGTGGTTGAATGTCGATCGGGATTCAATTCCTCTTCTTATTTCCCTTCCTTTTTCCCAAGTCTTTCTCCTTCACTCATTTTTGCAAGCATTTCCAGTACAACAGGTGAACTGCAAGGATCGCTGCCCGGGGCTTACTTACATCTGCTACATACGTAATGGCGTCCTAATCCTCGTTCATCTTCCCCTCATCGCACCACCTCCTTGAATTCTTTCTTTTGTCTATTTCTCGGGTCATTCTCACGCATTCCTTTTTTAACTCACTTTTCTGCTGGCTGATGGGGTCTCGTCGTTGGCTTCTACAAGATGGTAAGTCTATAGTTTACCTGTTACTGCCCGACTGTCTTGGCTTTCGTTAGAACGAACTCGTGGGTTTGGTTATCATTACCATAGCTCTTCCTGCACGGAGGATTCTCCCGTTTGTCGCAGCTCCACCCTCGAGCCTGACAGCTCCATCTGTCTATGATTTTTCCCGGCTTTTATCTGTTTCAAAGTCCAATAGTTAGAAATCTAACGGAAATCGTGTAGGGTTGTTGCTTCTCCTTTTTGTCGCGTGATAGTAACCAACCGCCACATGCGATTGCGACAGGAGGTATCACCACCACCGAAGAACAGCAACTACAACAACAACAACAACAACAGCAACAGCAACAATGTACAGACGTCTCGCCTACCCCCGAGATTCACGCCGCCACAACTTCCACCATTGTATCCAATACCTCCGCCTCGCAAATCGCCAGACCAACGACTCGTCGTCGCGGGCCTCCGGTCAACCAGTTCCCCCTGAGTGAGCACTTCAATGCGCCGATCCGTCCGCACGTCTGGTACAGCAAGCGTCGGGCATGGACGCGCGCTCAACTAGATCGGGAGCGACAGGAGTTCTTTGAGACGAGGGTGACGGGGCGGTCGGAGATATGGGCTGCTCTAGCGGCTGCGCTTACGTTCATGCGTGAGAATAATGACCTTGCGACGGCGCAGAGTATCATTGATGCTGCTGGTATTACTGTTCCTACGGGTGATGTCTGTCAGGGCTGCTATGATGAACAAGGCGTGTTGTACCGGTTGCCGCAGTGTATTGTGAGCGATCCGGAGAATATGGTACAAGCGGATCGCGCGGATGATTACTCCGACGTGGATGACGATGATATGTCTAAGTTGGTCGATGACGACGCGTCGGGCGATGAGCTTATTTCAGATGATCTTGAGAAACGTCGGGATGAGAAGGGCAAGACCAGCGAGCGGGATCTTATTAGTGTGAGAGCTCGACTTAGCGACAGGGGTGGGTTGGACCTTGTCGTGTCTGTTGGGAAGAATCGAAGTGTTGGTTTCATTGCGCGCAAGATTCGACAGGAAGCCGATGTATGTTACCAGGTTTCCCTTGTTCCTGTGACAAAAAAATAAAATAAAATAAACTGGGCTGACACTTGTTTGCTATCGTGCAGATCGACCGACATCAAACAGTCAGAATTGCATATCTAGGCAAAGTCCTTAGAGGACACTCGTCATTACCAGACCAGGGTTGGGAGCCGGGCCATGTCATCAATGCATTTATCGCCCCTCATCCTTCTGCGTCGTGACGACCGGTCCCTTTTTCCCAAAATAACCTGCTTAATGCCCCCTACGCTCTCTTACTCCTTTCCTAATCATTAGCGATGGCCACCGTGTTCTGGCGTTTGTTGTCTCTGGATTTGCATAATACCCCCCATCATGCGGTTTTCTTGTTTTGATTTATTCTATCTTCCATTTTTGTATCTTTCTTATCTACATACTTGGTGTCATTTACCTTTCCTAGTACTTATTATCCCTTTTTTTTTCTCTCTCGTTATTGGGAACAAGCGTAGTTTGTATAGGACATAAAAGTCTATTCGCAAATAGCAAATAGCTAAGAATTACTCTATCTTTCAATACTCCTACTCATATACTCCACATGCCACCATGTACTCCGTAAAGATATATATCCAGCGTATTTGTGCAAACTTGGGTTTAATTCAACTATTCAATGGAGACAATAGTAAGTAACTCAGCATTCCATCCCTATTTGAGAAGAAAAGGAGCAAAAAAGAAATAAAGATTCATTCAATCATAACCAATTTGCCGGAGCAGAACGGAGCGCAGAAAAAAGCAACAAAAAATAATGCATCGTCCGTGAATCGAACACGGGCCTCGTCGATGGCAACGACGAATTCTACCACTAGACCAACGATGCTAGTTGATATTAGTATCCGTCTTATTAGATATTTATCTCAATATGACCACATGTTAAGTTACAGCCCTAAAACTTGACTGTATGAGATGGTGGTATGATATCGGATTTTTTTTTTTTTTTAAAAAGCCTTCTTACTGACTTTTACTTTATTTGAACGATAGAGTTATATTCTCGTACATTGAGCAAGGTTGAACCACTTTATTCAATGTGCGCTATATTACTGTCGTCCTGCCCTCTTCCCTCAATGTCTGACAATGGAGCGCATCGGTTAGTATTGTGGTTGGTGTTTATTCAGAGCGAATCTTGTAAAGTACACTACAGGCGCGCGCGGGAGGCTTGGGTTTTGGGTTCTCTTCGAAGCTCAATCTCGGATGTGAACTAATAAAGACCATACTTAATTGACACCCACTATATTCATGTAGAGATATATGCGACCTCACCCTTTGTTATATTGGTCATTCTTATAGGAAGCTTTGCATCCCCGGTATCCCTAAAGTCTGGAACGTGTTAGTCGATATCGATGACCTGGATGGGTTGTATAGGTCGTACCAATTTCTACTCTAGCGAAGCGCTGCATATTCCAGAAGAAGAACGACGTGATAAGTAGAAGGAGGTGGCGGTTGTATTTCATGGTGCTTGGCAAGGAGGGGATGGTGATATAGAAGGGTTGGGATCGCAATAAATCGGTTGTGTAGATTACTGACGAGATGTTGGTATTTGAAGGATAAAACGGATAAGAATACTCGTTTTTGAAAAATCTTCTGTCTGATCAAGTTGATGGAAGAGTGAAAGTGAATGCGCTTGGTCACATGATGAATGAGAGGGGGATTCTACGAAGCTCGCGCTTTTCTTTCTTCCTCATCCCATTTCCCTCATCCATTTTCTCCTACATCCAACGCACATGCTTAATACCGTCAATCAAACCATCTTTACTCACGGCACTACTCACCAAACACGCCAGAGGCCAACCCGCAACATTCCTACCCCCCAGCAATGACCTGGTTGAATCTGCGGCTATTTACCTGGAGAGACGCTGTGTTTCTGACCATGTTCTTCCTCTTTTCTCGAGTGTCACATTATATCTGCGACTACACTGAGGCTAGTAAGTCAAAAGTTTGCTCTCGCGGAGTCCTTTTTGTGTTAAGGCACTGACTGTGGTTTCTGGTAGAGTTCAATCGATGGATAGAGGGACGTGGCCGGCGCCTTCATGCGGATTGAAGGCTGCAAAAGTACGACATGAACTACGAGATCGATTTGGGAGGAGGGATAATAGAGATTTGTGTGCGGATACTTATTGGGATTTGATGTCTACTCTCTGTCGCCGTACTTGAATAAGGGGGTTATGTTGAGATGGGTCGAGAGTGAATATAAACAAATTCATTCTCGAGCAGTACTATGGTTGATTTGATCCGGGAAGAAGAGTGTTGTCGAGGTAGGCAGGTCAGTCACATGATGGGCGAGCGAGGGAGTTCCCATCTCTCCCTCTTCTCTTTTCTCCTCCCCATCCCATCTTCCCCTTCATCTTCCTCACCATCATTGCTCCATCCTCTATTCCGAGTAATCTCTTCATTCACCACGAATACGATGTAAGTCAAGCCATTTTCTACGCCAGCATTTCCCCAGACCTGTTTACCCGGTTAATAACTCCGAGACACTCTAGCCTCCTTCCTAAACACAATGGACGAAACTTCGCACTACAAATTACTGCTAGTTAACTGAAAGGGTGCGATTGTGATTACGCTTTGTTTATATGCGTACTGTGCTGCCAATCACGCTTTTGACTTGGGCTTGAAGAGTGAGCCCAGCCTTGCAATGACTGACCGTGGACGCTTATGCTATTGTGTCATTGTACTGATTAGTTTCTGGTAGAGTTCGACCGCTGGATGAAAGATCGCAAAGAAGACAAGGTCCGCGTATAAGGAGGAAACTGTGTGTGATGGGCGTTGGCTGGGTGCTGCCTTCGGGATCTGCTTGTTTTGCTCTGTTTTCAACTTGCTTTTAAGCATACTAGCAATGAAAGAGGCTTCTTGAGACTCTGTCCTTGATATTTAGCAGGAAACTCTATTATAATTTATTAGCCCGTCGTAATTTGATTACTATCGTCCTACTGCGGACTCTCGTGCTCTTCTGTCTTAGATGTGAGATCTTTATTGTAACTTGGTATTCTTAAATAGCTCATTAATTCATCGACGGTGTCTCGAGTTTATTAAATCCTAAGGATTAAGCAGTATTCTTGTTGATTTTACCAGGAGGAATAAAGCGTGTTATTGAGGAGGTCACATGATGACCGTAGTTATTGGAGTTCCTCATCCCTCCCTCTTCTTCCTCGTTTCCCATCTTCATAATCCTCACTCTCACCATCTACCTCTTGCCTCAAACAGGATCTTCATCTTCAAACCAACAATTCAACTACTACTAGTAATTCATGCCCCTTATTCGCATTAACACTATCCGAAACCCCCAATCCGAAGCCCACCAGGGCCTACTTGACCTGAAGCTAACGCAGGGCACCCCAGCCAAATCTACAACCAAAGTCCGTTCAATCAAATCGGATTCAGTAGCAAATCAGAGCAAATGCCGACAAAAAAAAAAGAAAAACAGATGACCGAAAACACCGTCCTACACCTTCAGATTGTCGATTGGAAGGAGAGCAGTGGTACTCTGGTATGATTACGTCCAGAGCGGTAGGCTGAGAAAGAGCAATTCATCTTCCGTTATTGATGCTGGATTGTTTCTGTGCCATCTGTGCCATTGTACTAACTGGTTTTGATGTTCGACAGGCCGTCGTGCTGTGAGCCGCCGTTCGGTCTGATACCTCTTCGTCGATGGTGTGATGTATTTTAAGGGATAAAGCTACTACAATAAACGTCTGTTATACGGTGCTTTTTGCGGATTAGCTTGCTAGAGAATGATGGATAGCTAGAGTGGCAGTACTACGGCGCTGGTTCTTCGTACGCTGATCTCTGGAGTCTTTTCGGTGTCCAAACCGTTGCCAGATCAAGAGATTGAGACCGATCAGGATACTCTACGTAGTGCTTTATATACGTAAAATAAAGCCTGAGTCTCAATTGGTCTTGGTCATCGTAGTCGAAGAGTAAAGCGTTTCATGAGGAACTGGTCCAGTCACATGATGGGCGTAGGTGGTAAGTAGGTATCTCCTCTCCTCTCTTTCTCCTCTTCATCATCCTCCCCTTCGACAACACAAACAAACCGCATCGTCACTTTGCCATTAAACTTTAGACTTTCCAAGCTCCAAATTACAATAATAAGTCAAATATCCTCCATCCCGGCACCCCAGGACCTACGCCGTGCAGAGACCAACCTGGAACTTCTCTTAGCACACCCAAAACCGCCGTCACAATTTGTCGAACCAGATCCCCTCATCAAACACAAGAGCTGATCCTAGCAATAACAGATGGAAGGCAAATTGACAATCGATGTCGATTTCAAGGCACACTGGCAGATATCTGTGGGGGTTGAAATGGTTTACGGCTAGAAGAGGGAATAAGACTACCCAAGGATTAAGACAATAAAGAGCTCCAATGTGTGGTTTCATGCGCAGGTGAAGATTTGAACCTAGATCCAAGCTTCCAAGTCCTTCAAACCGCGACAAGGTTAGCTGTTCCATGGAACCCCCAATGACGCTGTTGCTTTTATTTTTTTTGAAGGCCTTGGGGAGAAGAGTAAACGGCGATAAGAGTAAAAAGAAGGTCTGGTGTTATAATACACGTTGTTGAGCATGTTGAACCTAGTCACCTGATGAGCGTAACTAACTTCTTCCCCCGCCTCCGCTTCTTCTTCTCTTCTTCCCCGTGTTTGAACGATCAAGTTAACCCACCTTTGCGCACTGCTCGGGCTTCCAATAGTCAAAGTTACAGCGAGTCAAGCCACCACACTCTCTACTCCAGAGACTAATTCAAGATACTCGCCAGATCAAACACCCGCACCGCGCCGTCCGTCAAACCAACCCCAGCACCAAACAACCAAAGCAAAAACCAACAACACCAAATGAGACCGATATGGATTAAACTCGGGTTCTGGGTATACAACGCAGGCAGAATACTCCTCTTCGCTCTTTCCTGCTACCGAATTCTGGATTTTAGTGGGGAGGTGATGCGGGCCGGTAAGTCAAGCCCTCGGATTCCGCGATGGGATGGGATGCTTTTTCTTGAGCCATCGTGCTGACTGTAGCTTTTTTCTAGTTTGGGATATCCTAGCGAACGGCGGACGGGGACTTGCGGACGCCAATACTGGGTGATGGTCGTGGGGGTCGTGGGGTTGGTCCGGAATACCGTTAGGGTTGTTGTCGAGAATTGTTTCTTGTATTTCAAGAGGACAGTCGATATCAATTCATGTGGAATGCTTTCTAAATATAAGCGAGAGCTCTGAGAAACCACATACTCTGAACAGAAAGAGTACCGTCTCATTTTCTTTTTTCTCTTGGCTACGGCCCCTGCAGAGAAACGAACCGGGATGTTCGTGGGCTTGGATGAGTAGGTCTTCGCATCCTGGCTATGGATTATTCTCACTGACAATAAAGAGTCTAGCCGCTGGCACGAGTGTACTACATAACGTCCATGTTATACAACACCACAATCCCAGCCACTGCAGTCTCTATGCGCGCATGACAAACATCATGATTCAAAGATCCTTCTATTGGCGCTAAACTATGCAAAAACGACTGCTATGCGACTAAAAATACCGCCACTCACACATTTCACTCTCTGATCGCACTTATCGATCGATGAACCGCAACTCCAACATTCTTAGCGGAGGATAGGCAAAAATCGTAAAGCCTGCCCCAAGCCAGATACCCAATTCACAGCCACCGGTAACGGCTTGTGCGACGGGTCCGGTGTAGTATGCTTGGTTCTGTATTTGTAAGTAAGCCAAAGGTTTCCATCTGATTGTAATAGGGCGTACTAACCATGCCAACAATAGCCCCAGCCCAGCCAACCAGAAACGATACACCGGCTGCGATTCCAACAGGTAGTTTCCTCCGATCATTCCAGATGGACCAATCGTATTCCCTACCTCGGTTGAAGAAAACATCTTGCTCGATCACAATCATGAGCCAGATGACGACCCAATATCCAATCAACGGCAAAAAGTTGCCAAAGATCTGATACAACGAGTTCCGTCCCCCAATAGCACAGCCCGCATAAATCACGGTGGTGATAATCGTAAACACAGGCCTCGGAATCCTCTGCCAAAAATCTCCCAACATCTGAAAATTCATCGACATCGAGTACGAACCAGGCGCATTATTCGAAACCACACCCACCATATTCACGATAGCGCAAAAACTCCCAAACGACCCAAGCCGGTTATAAGCAGCCATCAGCAACCCCCCCGGCGTGCCGTCATAGATCGCCGCCCATTGCGGATTATGCGCGACGCCGGTCCCGAGACCAACGCCCATGAGGATCGTTATCATCATGGAAAAACATCCGATTACGGTCACGGTCCATGTCTTCCAGCGCTTAATGTCGGGTGGGTAGTAGACGTAGTAGTCTGCGGCGATAGGGACCCATGCGAGACTGACGGAGAAACATAGTGAGAAGAAGGATAGGCGCTTTGCGTTGATTTGCTCTGGGGATCCGAGTGATGCGGTGTCGAAGTCGAATTGGGGCCATGCTGTTCCGATCATGATGCAGAGGACCATTAATTGAGGTAGCCATGCGACCCTAATTTACATGTTAGCGTAACAGAATCGCAGAAGTTCTTGGGCTAATACCTTTCATAGAACTGGAACACACTCATGCCGAAAGTGGCCATGATCCAACTCGCAAGGGCGACGATAATGATCCCCACAATGACGGAGACGTGCCCTCCTGATACTTTGGAGAGGAGTTGGCCACCGACCACGCAGTTCATCATGCCGTATCCAAGATTCGTCAGGATATTGAGCGCACAGCACACCTTGCTGGGGTAATATCCCATAAAATAGCGCGCCACGATCTATAACAAGTCAGCTTGAACCATACCGATACCCCCGGAGACACATACAAGAGTCCGATTCCCACTCCTCGGGCCCCAAGTACTCATATACCCAACCGCCACATTCCCCAAAAGATTCCCAAAAACCGCACAAATCACCGCATCCTTATAACTCAACCCCATAACAAGCGTCCCCATAGACCCCGCAGTAATATTATTTATCGCCATGCCCATGCTAAACCACATAACCAACATCTCCAGCGCAGCCCAGGCGGTGGGCTTTCGGCGCTCTTCGAGGGGAATGGGCTCGATGCCGCGGACTTCTAGGCCGCTGATGTTTTCGGCCCATTTTTCGTAGCGTGACCTGGGGTCTAGGGCTGTGGGGGGATTTTCGCGTTCGGGGTCGTCTTGGCTGTCGGTGCGGACTTGTTGGACCTGTTGGTCCTTTTCGATGTCTGGTCCCATGGACGTTTATATAGGAATGGAAAAGAGATGATAAAATTGCCGTTACCTTATGCCTTCTCTTAACTCGAGTACATGAGTATAAAAAGTCAAGTACTCAAAACCCAAACGAAACGCGATAGGGCTGGCTAGGGATTATATGCCTCGAGTCCAAATATTCCACGAGACGCCATCGTTACTCAGTGAAACGGCCTTGACATCACTTTATCTACCGCCGTGTCACACCCTGCACTACTCCCGGACCAAGGCATCGCATTCCACAGCCATCACGAGCAAAAAAATCAACACCCATCCTTCCTTCGCGACACCAACCACAAGCATGCAAAGTGCGCGGGTAACCGTCGGCCCGTCTGGCCTACCTACCTTTGTTATTAGGGGTAGACCTCGAGGACAATCAACGTGATTTGTTGTGAGTGTGTACAACCACAACTCGAGGATCTGGATGTGGAAGTGATCCAATCAGTATCCCCGGAATCTCTGCAGTCAAACCGGAAATATAATGGAGATCACTGACATTTCACTTTAGCCCCTTTCTTCTGTTAGTCACAAATTCTTCCCCAGAATTACAGAGAGCAAGTACTTGCTTACTGATTACTGGGTTTCCAGCAAATCGGTGCGCAGAATTCCCTGTCGGAGCGATTGAATCGCATAGCATACCGCGCACTGGCCCGCACTCCGCACTGACTATTGGTTATATCACTGCCTGCTTTGAGCTTAACAATGCGTCGACTGGTATGTGAGACTTATGCAAGGAGAGAGAAACGTCGGAGCGAGTGTTACTACATTCGAGGCACATATTGTCCGACGGGCAGGATTGTGCATATGTTGACAATACTCCGGTGCCCTAATAATTGAGACTTTGGTTTTCACGTCATGAACCATGGGTAACCCGAGCTTGTTTCCGGGCTAACTTGTGTTTTCTTCTTGAAGTGGTCAGTGGTGATGATTCTAACCATGCAACTCACAAAATGCCCTCATAATTACCACTGCACTATTCGAATACAAAACCACCTCAAGTCCGTTGCGACTCTAACCCTCATGTCGATCGTTTCCAGTTGCATAGTCACCTCCGGCCCTAGTTGTGCCGTTGCAAATACTTGTGCCATTTCCTCCAGCACCTCTAGCTGCGCCATCATTTATAGCTGGAGTCACCGGCTATAGCATTACGTCCACCGCCCCCGGCAGCTTGCAGCTGCGTGCACCAATATCTCTGGCCCCAGAGCCTCGTTATAATGATGCTTCCAGCAACAACAAAACCTCTAGCTATACAAAGAGCTCCATTCGTATCAAAGTGCCAGAAGTGCTTAGAGAAGCCGAAGATTCTAGAGAGACCAAAGGCCCCAGAGAAACCAGAATACGAGCATAATTTTGAGCGAGCTCACGAAAAGATTCCCTCCGTTATAAGATCCCAATTCGAAACTTCCTACGAAGCACGAATGGACTGGGTTAAGCCCTATTTGGACGAGGAAAGGCTCGGAAAGACTAATTTACAACGCCAGCGTCGTCTGATAGAAGAGCAGAAAGAAAAGAGTTACAGCTATGATGATAATCTTTCGGAATACACCGTCGTGTCATCAGACGCGGAACCAGAAGATCTAGACCCAGACGTGGAGGAAGAACTCATCAAACTGCGCGAGAACTACTGGGAACACCAGATCCATCTAACCTCGCTCATCGAGACGCGGCCCATCGATGTCGGCACTGTAAATGAGGTTCTTCTCCTGCGCAGCCACAGGGACCGACATAACCGCACGTTCGCTTGGAGACTGGAGCGTGAGAAATGCGCCGCTAGTGGGGGCTGTTGTGGACGGACTTGCGGGTGCTGTGAGAGGCCCTTGGGGAAGTATCTTAAGCCTGCTAAAGATGGGGAGGAGGAGGATGAGAGGAAGGAAGTGGAAGTTTTGGGACATTGTACGGTTGAGTGTGGGTGTTGTATACTGGTGAGGGGGTGTTATAGGCCTCATCCGGATTTGCCCTCTATAGACAATGAGGATTGAGGATAGGTGCTAAGACGGTAGGACGCATCTATTGAATAGCCATTGCATTTATTCTTAACCCACAATAGAGAAGTATTGCTTGAATGTTTTTTGTTCATAACTTGCTCAATAGCTTGTATTAAACCCTACCCCAACTCAGCCGCCACAGCCAGCTCCATGACCTTAGTCGCTTATCTTCGTGGCAGTGGGCAAACGAGTTCAACTGGCGGCGATAATAATAATATCTACACATACTTTTGGACACACCAGCTGCCCAGTGGCGTCACTACCAATGACTAAGTAGTTACAATGGTGATAGAGGCGTGAATAACACTTGTATACTTCCTGTATTTCTTTTCCATTTATCCACTCTTCACCTTCGCTTCTTTTTTTTTCTTTCCTTTTGTACATGGTAGTTGCTATTAGTTATTTGAACACACATAGCCCATATGAAGATGAAGTAACCCTACTTGCAAGTATTCTTAGTGAAAACCAAGCGTACAGCATCACCAACTCTACTGGTAATTACAGTGTAATGGGCCTCACCACTGCGTTTGAATGGGTTCGGCAGGAATGGATCACTGTTGGCAGCCAGTCCTCCAGCTCTGCCTACGCCTTGGATACCTTCTACAGCTCTCTATCGTCTGGTCTGATCCATGGTGTTATTGTTAATTTTTTATTTCTCGCGCGCCCTGCGATCCTTGAACCATATCCACCTTTCCGACATTCAAAAGCCCCTCCGGAAGTCCAAAGCACTCAGCCGCCCCATATTCCTCAGTCACCGTATTCAGCTATTCCTGTTAGCCATCGCCTGGAGGGCCTAAATATTAACACCAAGCACCTCTTCGCGCTTTGCACCATCCTGGTAGACAAAGAAAGAGGGAACGGTACGGATTCCGATCTCTTCAGCAACATCAGAAAGTCCTTTTCAGACTTCCCTGCTAGGAGATAGTTCAGATCCGGCCTGTAAGTCTGATCCAGCTGGCTAGCATGGCCTGTTGTTTGATAATATTCCATAATTCCAGCCAGACGCTCCTCTGGGTCTTCTGTTTCATCTGCAACAAAGCGGCATATGGTCGACGCGAAGATGAATAAAGGATATGCTTTTTCAGTAAGGATGTAGATGGTCTCTTCACCAGGCCATCCTTCCGAGCTAATGTCACCCTCACGCTCCGCTAAAATCTTTTGGAACCCAAACCGGAAGAAAACTGTCAAATCGTGTTTGACAAGGGCGGAGGACAGGTTTTGAAGTACTAGACGGTCATGATCCTCGATTGGTATTTTGTGGATTTCCTGGCGGATTGGCAACTCCGGACGGCTGATTATGAATATCGTGACCTTGACTGAATCGATTTGTTTTAACGTGGGCAGCATATTAAGCATGGACCGGATATCCTCGTCGTCCGTGGATTCGTACTCATCCAACGCATCAACTACCAGAACAATGGGTCTTTGCCAGCGTACGTTCGTAAGGGGCTGGTAGACAAGATCTCGGAATTGCGGTCCAAACGCTTTCGAAGTAATCCACGATTCATGTTCCAGCGCGAGCCGGACTGCGCCGGCCTTCTCTCGAAAATGAGCCATCAACTGGACTGTGATGGCGGAAAAGAACTTTTGGGAATTGCTACGATCGCCTTCATTTCTGTTGAAGAAGAAGCTGGCACCTAGCATCCCCTCCTTCTGTAACCGTGCCGCAACAGGTCGGGATATGGTGGATTTCCCTATACCTCAAGTTGCTGGGGAACACCCTCCAGTGCAGATCACATGTAATTACTATATAGTAAAGAAAAGACAACGCAGATCAGCGAATTCGCGATGTTACACGCCATCGGGTACCGATCACTGATGTGCGTGTACTGCTCAATCTCATTGGAGGCAAAGAGAAACACGGAAGCGTATATGAAGATTTTGACATATTTTTTATACATACTGGCGCCGCCGAGCTTGGATGTGAGACCGGAGAGCTTAGAATTAGAGGACCAACAAAAAAATGCACGAGAGAATCAAAGAGCAATAAGGATAAGAGAATTATAGAAGTGGAAAAGTCAACAATCCGGCCGGACATAAGAGGCATTATATATAGCCCACCTAGAGCTATTGCCATAACCGGGCGCAAGGCGGTGAAGCGCCCCGCTAACCGTCGCAGGTTTCTGCCTTAGGATGAACTGCGCGGGGATGATTTGTATACTAAGGTTTGTCTGTTGTTGAGGCTAGGTACTACACAAATAAGAATTTAATCACTGTCAACATCAACAGACAACCCCGGAATGCGGCCATTACGGAACAAGTCCACGAAGATGTGGTGGTCACGTCGGACCTGGGCACTATACTCATGCGCAAACTCAACAAGCAAGTCCACGAATCGGTCCTCGTCAGTCGCAATGGCTGCATGAATAGCCTTCTCGGGCGAAAACGGCACCAGTTCCCAGTGCCTTCTGTCGTCGTCTCCGGCCCCGTGCATCATGGCAGTGGCCCGGCCCAGGTCGGCAACCACTATCGCCATCTCCTCCGGGTCGTTGATGTCTGACCAGTCAAGGTCCACCGCATACGGCGAAACTTCTGCGACGAGCTGGCCTGCGCCATCGATCTCGGTCCAACCGAGCCATGGGTCTGCATGCGCTTGCAGTGCGCGCTGCGAGATCACTGTCCGGTGACCTTCGTGGTGGAAGTAGTCGGAGGCCGCGCTGTTTGTGACGTGTGAGGAGACGGCTGCGGCTTGGGACTGCTTCATGTATATTACCACGTCGTTCTCCAGGGCCTCGCTGTTGCCTTCAAGTAGGATGTTGTACGATGGGAGGCCTGCGCTGCCGATGCCGACACCACGACGTCCCACCACGTCTTTGATGCGGTAGGCGCTGTCGGAGCGGCGCTTATTCGACTTGGGTAGTGTCTCCAGATAGCGATGGAAGGCAGCTGCGACTTTTTCTCGCGTGGTAGAGTCCAGTTCAACTGCACCGCCGCCTAGGGTGAAGCGCCGCTCGAAGTCATGGATCTCGGTCATCGAGTCAAGCAGCCCGATGCGATTTTGCGCGCGAGCTGAGTGCAACGCTTCCAGTAGCGGGCCCCTGGCCGTGTCCAGGGTAAAGCGAGGCACCTCGTTCTGATTGTTGCTAGTGGCCAGGTTGTGAATACGCTCACGGTAGGCTGCGGCGTACGTCCGGACAAGTTTGGCGATCTGCTTGTCGCTGAGCGCTTTCGCGTATCCGATCAGGGCGACCGAAGCGGCGAAGCGCTTAAGGTCCCAGGTGAAGGGGCCGACATATGCCTCGTCGAAGTCGTTGACGTTAAAGATTAGCCGACCCTGGGAGTTCATGTACGTGCCAAAATTTTCTGCGTGTAGATCGCCATGGATCCAAATCCGGCTTGTTTGGTCGTTCAGGTACGGGCCACCGTGCTGCCCCTGCTGCAAATCGTGGTAGAAGAGACACGTGCTACCGCGGTAGAAGGCAAACGTCGAGGCCGCCATCTTGCGGAACTTGACCTGGAATGCAGTAGGGTCTGCCGCAAGAAGGTCACTGAATGCGGCGCCGAAGACGTTGAGGATCTCCTCGCCTCGCTGCTCGATGGAGGACCGTTCGACGGTCATCATGAGTATTTGTTTTTCAATGGTTTCTTGATTCATTGAAAGGACAAGATGGATTGCCCGGTAGATATATGTGCTTACCCCTTGGCGGCGCGGAAACAAGATCTTGGCCGGGCTCCACTACCTGTCATTAGGGCTTCTGTGATTGGGATCATGCACCAGCCAAGAGTCGGGTGGATAAAACGGTTTGACCTAGCAGTGTGGCGCAGCTTCATAACCGCTGCGAGATGACAATGGAGCAATCAATGCCAGTCGGGTAATTTCTCGTCCTCGAAAAAGGGGAAGAGGGGAGAAGTCTAGAACTGTATTCGAAGCGAGCTATGACCCTTCATCCAACCTGCGGCGGGATAGACGTTGTAAAAATCAGCCACTGATATCTTGGTTGTGAATCAGGGTTGCCAACTGTAACTGGTTATGATTCAGTCAAGGATGGTTGAAAGAGTGCGTTTTGGTCTCTTCACTCGTCTCTTGGAAACCAGTAAGTTGCATTGCCTAAACCCATAAGTCATAACCCAGGCCGCAAGAACTCGGATTAGAATCTCATACCTGCAGTTTTCAGGATCAGGATTCTCCTTTGCTTTTTCCATTTGATAGGTTGTTTGGCCTGTGTTGATAGGGTGCTCAGCCGCAGACTCCGTACAGTTCTGCCCCTCACGCAATGCCTCCCAGAGGATAACAAAAGTCCACGGTGTAAGATAATAGTGGATTATACTATAACAATAATATCAAAAGAATATAACGAACTATAGAACTCCCATCCCCCGAACTCCTATTCACATCTACATCTCCCTAAGCATCCACCTTAAAAACTATCTTATTAGTTCTCCGCGCTTCAAAGTCCTTATACGCCTGTGGTGCATCTTCGAGCGCCATCGTCTTGCCACCCAAGAAGGCGACCTTGGGGTAAATCTCCTGGAACAGCTTCAATGCCTCGCCAAAAACACTGCGCACAGGACATCTACCAAAGGCCATGGTGACGTTCTTACCGTAACACAGCAGACCATTCAGAGAAATCTGCTCCGTATGGATACCGACGGAACTGATCTGGCCCCACGGTCTGATCATATCGAAAGCGAGCATGAAAGCATCCGTATGCCCAACGACCTCTATCACCACATCTGCCCCGCGATCTCCGGAAGCCGCTTTGATCTTGCCCAGGGGATCATCATTCAAGTTGATTGGGATAGCGCCTAGCTTCTCGGCTTCTGCGAGCCGCTCCGGAACAGAGTCGATTGCGTATACAGTTTTGACCATGCTGAGCGCACATGCGATCGTGCAGAGACCCACGGGGCCGCAACCGATGACTACAGTAGTGAACTGCTCTCGATCGCGCGGCTCAAGATTCTTCAAGAAGCGTGACGCAGCGAAATATCCGGTTGGAAAGATATCTGCCATGAGAACAAGGAGGTCCTCGGGAACGCCTTTCATCAATTAGCTTTTTTTTCAGACCGTTAATCGTTTCTGACAAACCTTTAGGCGTTCTAACACAGGTTGTCTGTGCCAAGGGCACTCTGACATATTCAGCTTGCCCACCGTCGATTGTATTGGCTGGTGTCGAGTTCCCAAAAAGCTCGCCCTTTGCGCATCGACTTGCTTGGCCGCGCACACAGTAATAGCACTCCTGACAAGAAGTGAAAAATGGAACAACAACCTGGTCCCCGAGAGCGAAGTCCTGAACAGCTTCTCCCTTTTCGACGACAGTACCGACAAACTCATGGCCACACACAAAACCGACGGGACATTTCAAGTGACCGCGATAGAAGTGCAAATCAGAACCCTGTCTGCGTATAAGCGTATGTACTAGGACCGGGTGCATGTTGATATGTTACCCACACATAGTGCTGTGGACGACACCTTTAAAATGGCGTCAGTTGGCTCCTGGATGTTAGGATACGGTCGGTCTTCAACAGCGACCTGGGCCAAACAAAGTCAGTTTTGAGAAATCGGCTCGGTAGGTGGTACTTTACCTCGTAGGGCCCTTTCAGGACAACAGCACGCATAGTTGCAGGAGGCATGATTACAGGGGACTTAGTTTCAAGTGATAAAACAAGCCAAGAGTGATCAATTTAGCCATTCTCTTCCCAGCAGGAAGAGTCATACTATTTATGTCTAATCTACTGTATGATCTCATGGATAATCGTATTTTATAGTTCATAACAACGATCCGCGGCTGTGAGTCGGATATTGCATATAGCCGGGAGATGTGGAGATTTCACCGTGTTGAACGGCCATATAGTTGCTGACCTGGATATTTCTGACAATTAATTGCAGACCTAAAGAGAGGGGTTGAGGGATGCAAGATTTCATCCTTTTGACCGAACTTTTCATTCGATATGGATTGGCATTTAGGTTAAAGAGAATGCGGGGTTGTGCTTCAAACCCCAACATCGCGGCTCAAACACCCGGGGTAGTCGGCTTTATTCTAAATTTCCTTGTGATGTCCTATCGTCAGAGCATCTATACTCTGCAGCGCGCCAAATACAACGCTTACTCTCTTCTCATTACGGAATCTAACCAGCTTTGACTTACAAGATATAGCATATCGTATTTAAACCGTATTAGCCACCACTCCTGTCCAAAAGAAACATCTCAAGACGATACATTGATCAAAATACTTTTCACAGTAAGGTACTCGTCAATTCCATGTCGTCCTCCTTCGCGTCCATAACCGGACTCCTTGACGCCTTAACACGGACTGTTAGTGACACATCACTAGATAGCTGGGAAGATGTTCGAAAACACTGAACTCACCTCCAAATGGACTTTCACAAGCGCTTAGCATGCCCAGGTTTACACCGACCATGCCGACCTCGAGGTTCTCTGCAACTCTCCACATGCGTGATATTGATTCAGTGACGATGAAACTGCCAAGACCAACATCGCAGTCGTTGGCCTTTTCCACTACTTCCTCTTCGGTTTTGAAAGGGAAAAGAGCGACAACAGGCGCGAAAACTTCCTCAGTCGTGGTCAGTGACTCCATGGACATGCCGCTCAAGACAGTTGGCTGGAGGAAATATCCCGGGAGGTTGTTGGGCTTCGATGGCTCTCCCCCAAGAAGAATGGAGGCACCCCGACTCGTGGCGTCTGAGTTTCAATTGATGTTAGCAGATCGTATTCAAGGGTTAAAAGGGACGGTGTGTATGCCTTTTATATGGGCCAAGGCTTTCTCAACCGCACGCTCATGAGCCAGAGGGCCAATGGCCACGTCGCTGTCTGTACCATTTCCCACTTGTAGTTTCTCAACCCTTTCCACCAATGCAGAAGTGAAGCGGTCATAGATTCCCTCTTGAACAAAAATCCTATTTGCCGTCACACAGGTTTGCCCCGAGCCCCGGAATTTGGCGAGCATGCACGCGTCAACAGCGGTTTCCACCTTGGCATCGTCGAACACGATGAACGGACTATTACCACCCAGCTCAAGTGAAAGTTTTGTCAAATTGGCACTGCTCTGTTCAACCAGGATCTTTCCAACCCGAGTCGACCCAGTAAAGCTGAGTTTCCGGACGAGCTTGGACTTGCAGAGTGCTTCCCCAACTTCTGCTACATTGTTCAGCGTGGTGACCACGTTGACAGTGCCCTTTGGGAAACCGGCCTCCTGTGCCAGCAGAGCCTGGGCAAGGGCACTGAGAGGCGTCTCCCCAGCTGGCTTCCAAACCGTCGTGCATCCCGCGGCCAACGCCGCACCAACCTTGCGAGTAATCATTGCAATGGGAAAGTTCCATGGCACAAGACACGCTGCGACCCCAATAGACTCCTTGATAGTCATAATACGCTGGCCGAGATTTGCGGTGGGCACGACCTCTCCGTGTGTCCTCTCAGCCTCGGCAGCAAACCAGTCGAGAAACGACGCAGCATACATCACCTCACCCTTTGCCTCTGCGAGCGGTTTCCCGTTTTCAAGCGTCAAGATAAGAGCAAGATCCTCGAGATGCTCCATACAGAGAGCATGCCATTGCCGCAACCAGCGAGCTCGCTGTCGTGCCGATGTTTTCTTGTAGGATTTGAATGCCTCGTGAGCAGCAGTCACTGCTTTCGCAGTATCAGTGGCGTTCATTTCCGGCAGAGTGGCGATGGTCTCGAGTGTAGCCGGGTTGACGACATTGAATGTAGAACCACTGACGGAATCGACCCATGATTCTGCGATGAAGCCCTTTTGCTGGAAGAGATCAGGCCTCTTGAGATTCGAAAGACTTGCAAGCGGCGCCATTGTAATAATTCACGTAGAAAGTATTCCTGAGATAGAGTCTCTTAATTTTGAAGTACGGACAAGTCTCAGTTGAGAATCTAGGGTATTGTTATATCTCGGAATGACCATATAACCACACAGAAGTAACCGATAGCCCGAGCCCCCGCAAGATCTCCAGGATCATCGCTCCACTTGATGTGACTAAGGATGCGGGGTTCGTAAGAGAGTTTGTCGAATCTTTGGAGATGTTTTCACGCAAAATGCTCCCCCCTGTTTCTTGTCTCACATCCTTCTCTTTCTCATATTTCTATATCATTACCCAAGCCCCTTCAGTATTGCAACGATGTCCGCAATCCAGAATCAACTTCAACAAGGTGCTGTTCTTAGCTCTGTGTCGAATGTCTGCCCACCAGGTACCAAGTTCCACGTCTTGGAAGTTGGTTGGCTTGAGTGTGACGAAGGTTTTGTGGTTCGAGGCGGCAACACAAGCGTGAAAAGCAACGAGAAAGAATCTTTCGTTAACAAACGACGAGAGATGCCCATGTACTGCATCTTGATCGACCACCCCCATGAGGGTCTGATTCTTTGGGAGACCGGCTGTGGCAAGGACTATCCCAAGGTCTGGGGCCCGGCTGTATCTGATATCTTTGCTCGTGTCAAGTATGAACCTCAGCACGAGCTCCGCGCAGCAGTCGAGGCGACGGGCAACAAAATCGAGAATATCAAGAAGATCATTATTGGCCATCTTCATTTAGATCATGCAGGAGGCCTCGACGAGTTCCTGGACAACAAAGAAGTTGAGGTCTGGGTCCATGAGAAAGAACTGCTATCTGCGTTCTGGTCCGTCGCCACTGGGGCTGATGCTGGAGTGTATTTGGGACATTACCTTGAATTGTCGTTGTATGTATGCTCCGTTCTTTCACTGAATTTTACGAGGGTCTAATATAGCTACAGAAACTGGAAAACCTTCACGGATGAGCGCCTGGACTTTTGTCAGGGCATCACTCTCCACCACTTGCCCGGGCATACGGATGGTTTGGTTGGAATGCAAATCAACATGCTTGAGACGGGTACCTTCCTCTTTATCAGTGACCATTGCCATGTCATTGAGAATGTAAGTAATAATGATTATACGACGCTTGCAGCTATCTAACATTCACAATAGTGGCGTGATGGCATTCCCCAAGGATGGTTGGCAAGAGATCACCCAGCCTGGTTCAGGAGCACCCAGCGTCTCAAGCACCTTGAGCGGATTACCAAGGGTCAAGTTATTCCCGGGCACGATAAGGAAACCTTTTTAGCGCTTCAGAGGCAAGCTCAAGTTTTTACCTGAATTGTATGATTTTGAAGCATATATCCGTGCCAGTCTCGTTTCGCTTTTCTCCCCGAGGGCTCCATGCCGGATGATACCAACCGGTGCTGCATTTCTGTTGGAATCGAGCAAAATACAGGCAATAAATTTTATAGAATGCTTTCTGAAGAACTATGCATTGGGTTAACAGTCACTTCCTAAATACAAATAAAATCATGCAATCTCATCCAAGGAACATGCATCTGCATCTGCTCAATTTCCTCCATCGTTCTTCATTTGATATGGAAAAGCCACATCAAAAATTACTGATTTGCCTCCTGACTTTCTCTTCGCAGCGTTAAGCAGATTTTCCGTGATCTTGATATGCGGGTTGCACTTTAGCACCGTATAAACCATGCCCACGTCTTGCCTCTCTATGATCATTTCCATAGTCCTTCCTTTCGATGATATCGGAACTCTGCGCTCTGTGGAAAACTCGAGGAGCTCGGTCAAGTCATAATCGTTTTTATCTTGGCAAATTTTTTTCACTATATGCTCGAAAACTTCAACATTATCATTTTCACATAGGATCTCGGATGCCCGGATCCTCTTGGGCCAGTCTCTTTGCCACTAGGCCTCCCAGACTGTTTGGAGGTCTAGATGACGCCTTTAGACAATCTGGCGGCCATCAACTAGCTGCAAAAGGAAGTTGTTGTGAAAGAAGTTCAAAGAGACAAAACAAATGCAAAGTGCATAATACATGTATGCAGTGGCCATAGTAAAAGGATGCTGGATCATCATTCGGGGAGGGTAGATCGCACTATCGACGGACAAACCGGGCCGGAGATCATTGCGCACCTGTTGGCTCAAAGATAAGTCCAGTAGAATACTTGATCTGTATGTAGGTACAAAGAAGGGGTAGGGCTCATGATCCTTGTTGGTCCTTTTTGGTACTTTGTACATATACTAAGGACTTAGGCAGAGCACTGCCAAGAGTCAAGCATACGTACTTGATCTTCTCGACGCTTTGAAGGCTTTCCCTTTCCGTTTTAGTGCTCACCCCTCGCCGCTTTTTTTTTTTTTTGCTTACTGAGTAAACCTGATCACTGAGCAGAGGGTGAGCCGATGGGTGAGCAACCTGAGTAAGGCAACCCCAATAAAATGCACCGGGCTAGGATTTCAACCCATATCTGCTTTCCCTCGTAAACACAAAAAATCACCGAGCTTTATGAGCCATGTACAGAATAGCATGCACCGCCTGCTTGATTCTCCTTTCCAACAAATTCTGATCCGTTATATCCAAACTAGCAGTCCAGATTTGCCTTGAAAATTGACTGGGCTCATAAAACTTGCTCCCTCATTTTGCAAACCTTCCATACATGCCTTCGTCATAATAATTCACCTTAGGACAGGCCTTGACCAGGACCAACGCGGTCTGTTTGTTCAATGTTCCACACTGGATGACATACTTTGTAAGGGAATCGTAGAATTCTTTACAAATGGTGGTCTTTGCTGTATCATAGAAGCCGTTGGCGGGACTCAGCACAGACAAGACTGCGTCCCACGCCGTTTTCATCTTAGTCGAATCACCCAAGGCAGCCTGGTAGGAATCCAAGGTCGCGTACAGGTGTTTGTGGATTTCTTTCCTTATTTCATGCTTGAACGGGTAATTGTCTTCGACGCGGATCTTGGACTCTTTGTTTAACTTAAAGATGAAATGGGAGAAGGATTCGAAAACAGCAAGCGCGTCGCCCATGGTGCCGTTGTTGATGTTGTCTTTAGCTGCGTCTAAAGTGCCACAGAATCGGGGATCATAGCCGGCTTTGAGATAGGTTATGAGTTGGTCCCAGGTGATGCTGTCAATAGGTGGGATTTCATCAGTCTTGTAGTAGGTGATGTCCTGGTGTGATCAGGAATTACACTGAGCAGGCCCCTGAGCACCCTCATAAAAGCGGCGGCATCCAGAAGGGGAAAGTCCCAGTGGCTCTAGAAAAATCAAGTTCGTATAGGTACAACGTGTATTCCATAATGTGACGCAATGTCAGCCTCGTGCTGAATTTAAGAGATGGATGAATGGACGGCGAAATATCTCGAGGAGTGGCAAGTTGATTTCGGAGACGAGCTCAACGCCGAGCAATCACTACGCTTTATTCAAGATGTCTTGTCGGCATTGAAGCAACTGCCCAGCTCCGGCGTCGAGACGGTCGCTCCATCAGTCATAGCCACGATCAAGTCGCAACAGGACCTTGAGGAATCACTTGATTACTCTCAAGGTGTCGTCTTCGAAGCCGCCATCTCTTCGCCCTTGGATTCTAGCGACCTTGCACAAGTCACCCGGTTGCTTGTGCAGGAGCTCCCCCATCCTCGCAACGAGTGGTTTCAACGAAAATTTGCCAATAACGCGCGCGAAAGATGGAATGGTATGTTGAAATTTACCAATGAGGAAGTGACCTAATGGCTGATTCGACTTTTAGGACCAGATCAACCTGGCCCTGAAAAAGACCTCGACCAATGTATCCAAGAATGGATCTCTTTGAATATCTTTGTCGCACATCTTACTCGAGTGCAAGCTGCTCCTCTTGAAGACTTCGCGCTCCGAACACTAAACCGGGCGTTCGACCCAGGATCATATCTCTCAAATGAAGTGGAATACCAGGTCCCCGCTGGTGCCGCTTGGATGAGAAACTGGGGAAAGGAGCTTTATGTCTGGAAATTCTCCGCGATTAAGCTTGGCATCGATCGGGCCAGGTGGAATTGGTGGAAGCGAGGTTTTTGAGACTTGTTGGAAGTCGGAGAATTTGCGGCCGGAGACGAAGGAGGCAGCTGGAGCAGTAGTCACTAGGTGTATCTGGGTGTATTCACGAATGTAAAACCTGACATGTATAGGGAGTGATTTCAACCGTAAATGTTGATCGTATATGTATTTCCTATCCTGGTTGTTTATTCTCCCTGTTACTGCCAGGAGTCCGGCTAGACAAAGCACCCCCAAAAAATATATATATTGTGGCGTATTCTCAGCCTCATAACAACAATACACACCCTCTGGTTGGTCCTCGGCTGCGGGGAAGCTGTCAAACGGATATATATAACCTTCCTCTCAACCACTCCGTACCCCGTACCACCCATCCATAATGGAAAACAACAATACCTCCATATACTCCCCCGAGACCCCCAAAATCCCTACATGGGACACCCTCCTCATATATATCACTCCCCTCCTCCTCGCCTACCCCATCCTAACCTCCCTCCTCCGTTTCCGCCGACACCACAACCTCCACAAACACTACCACTTCCCAACCCGCGACTCCTTCTCGCGCATGACAGACGACCAAGCGTGGGAAATCCAGAAAGTCCTCGCGCAGTTGGAGTTTCCGTTTATTTATATCAAGGCGTTGCAGTTTGCGCTGTTCAGGGTACTCCTCTCCCTTTACCCCCTCCCCCCAAAATAAACAATAACAGACTACTAACACCGAAAGCACAGACATACGGCATCCCAAGTATATCCACCGTCCTAACAAAAACAACCCAATTCTCGCACCCCGCAACATCCCTGAAACGCTACGCCGACACCACCGCGCTCATCCAGGAGTTCATCGCGCACTCCCCGTCTTCACAACGCGCATATACGTCCCTCGCGCGAACGCGCTTCTTACACGCCGCGTACCGCGCGTCGGGGACTATCCGCGAAGATGACATGCTTTATACGCTGGGTTTGTTTGCGATTCAGCCGATTCGGTTTATTAGGAATTTTGAGTGGAGGGAGTTGAATGGGTTGGAGAGGTGTGCGATTGGGACGTTTTGGAAGAGTGTTGGGGATGCGCTTGGGATTGACTATGAGCGTCTTCCGTCTGGAAACTCGGGGTTTAAGGATGGGTTGCACTGGCTTGAGGAAATTACTACCTGGAGTGATGCGTATGAAGAACGCTGTATGATCCCTCATGTCAAGAACAGGGAAACAGCGGACCAAACGACAGCCATGCTGGTGTACATGTTACCCAAGCGTCTGCACCCTGTGGGCTTGAAGTTCGTCTCGTTCATGATGGACGATCGACTTCGGAGGGCGATGTTATATGACGCCCCACCACCACTCTACACTACGATCTTTTCTACCCTGTTGAATACCCGCCGATTCGTCTTGCGCTATTTAACCCCTCCGCGACCGTATTTTATGCGCTACATGTCTCTTACCGAAACCCCGGATGAGGATAACCGTATCTTCATGACGCAGTGGGATGCTGCGCCGTATTATGTTAAGCCGTCTGTTTGGAATCGGTGGAGTCCGACTGCTTGGGTTACTTGGGTGCTTGGACGGCCGTTGCCTGGGGATGAGGGGGAGAGGTATTATCCCCGTGGGTATCGGATTGAGGATGTTGGGCCGAGGTATTTTGAGGGGAGGGGTGGAAAGTCGATGGAGGGGTTTGTGGAGGAGTATAAGATGGGGAGGACTGGGGGGTGTCCGTTTCACTAAGCTGGGGTTGATGACTACGATTTATGATTAGTTAACTACAATTATTTCGGTTTGTAGTATAGTTCTAGGACAAAAGTCTACGTAATTTCCCGCAACTACGAAAATATATATAATCGCCAAAACATTTCTTTTCCCCATAGATAAGTAGCATATAAATGGTAAAATATAATAAAAATTTAATCAATAATGTGTATACCACCCCTTTGCCTCTAAAACTGCATTAATACGGTTCTCCATCAACCTTACCAACCCATCAAAAAATTCCTGTCCTAAACTCTCCCATGCATCCTCCATGGCCTTATAAAATTGCTCTTTCAATTGCTCTTTGGTCCCATTAAATAATTCAAGGTCTGGATAGAGCATATAT